AGCAGTGAACAGTAAACGGCAGAGCCTAACAACTATGATATCTTAAAATTTCCTTCACCAAAAAAATCCATCATTAGCTTTGAATTCAGGCTCACACAATTCTCAGGACAAGAACAGAATGAAACTTGAAAATTCCCATTTGTCTCCCCTTTTCCTATGAATCTTGGGAAGTGAATGGTGGAGGCTATGAGAAAGAAATTGGTATATTTATTCCAACAGGGGACAAGCAGAACAGACAAGTCACTATGAAAGGTATTAAACTGATACCAATAATTACATGCCATCTCTCATAAATGTTCCATTCAGGAAGTTTATCTTCTAATAGTAATAACATAACTTACGGCTTAACATACAAATTATACTGTATGTAATCACTCAATTTCTTTTATTAGTTTGTAAGCATAAAATTTGAGGTGTCTCAGAGGTCGTGGGTTGAAATTATCAACAAAAAATGAAATTTTAGGTGAATTATCATATTATATAGGACAATGATAAGCTGGTGAGGAAAAACTTCACTAATTTAACAACTATCAGTTGAGTGTACTGTATGTTGCATCACAAAAGTAAAATGAGCAAAATCTCTTCTTTCTAAAATCAGTAAGAGAAGGAATACATACGACAACAATTACAATAAATTATTTTAAGTGCTATACATATGTGTTAGCCTGATGAGTTTTTATATCCACTGCTGCTGGGCAATCAGAAGCTTCTCTGATGAAAGCTGGGAACCACACTGATCTATACACTTTAGTTATTTGAGGGACTTCCATATTGACTCCATAGCAGCCACAGCAGTTCACTTCCCACCAGCAATGTGTGAAGGTTTCTCTTCTCCCACATCCTTGCTAGCATTTGTTATCATTTCTTTACTTGAAGATGTACATCCATTTTTACTGGGTGATATAGAAATCCAAAACAATTCTGATTTACATTTCCCTGACAGGTAAGGACACAGATTACCCTTTTGAAACATTCATTTTCAGAAATCTTTATGCATTTCATAATTGAGTTGGATGATTTAATGTTCTGGTGTATATGTTTTGAATTCTATCAGATTCTGGATGTTAATACCCATTTTGGAAATACAGTGGGGAGAGTTTTCCTCTCATTCTGTAAGATGTCTCATTGTTCATATAACTGTTTCCTTGTAGAGGTTTTTATCTTATTTTGTTTTGTTTTATTTTATTTTATTTTATTTTATTTTATTTTATTTTATTTTATTTTTTACAATCCAGCTATTGCCCCACCTCCCAGTTTATCCCCAACAGTTCCTCAACCCATTCCTCCTCCCATGTCTCTGAAAGGATGCCCACCTCCCCCTCATTGGTCTGGTACAAGACCTCAAGCTTCTGCAACTCTTTCAATAATAGAACCTCACTGGGACTCCTACTGAATATCCAGTGTCATGGAGATTCTGTAGTCATGGAGATCCTGTAGTTTTAGATATGTAGGACTGGCCTTTTCATGCACACTAGCAGTTCATCAATGGGTGAATGTTGGAGTGGACCAATTCAAGACCCATTCAAAACTAGATCTGGGCCTTAGAGGTACCTGACCTGGTAAGCCTGCTGGCTCTCCTGCTCTCAGGGCAGGCTCACTGGCAAACCCTGCAACCAAGGACAGCTTTATATTGATTCCCAGGTGAGGTGGAGGACCTGTTCTCCTAGTGTTGCAGCCAGTGAGGGACAGGGACAGTTCTCCCACTCTCATGACCCTGAGCCAGCTTTCCTTACTGCCCACGTGAGGGACAATGGAGAAGTGTGTCTCTTCCTCATCAGGCAAGATGCAGGACTGTCTCTGCTACATTCATAACCTCAGATCCAGCTCCCCTGCAATTCCTTCATCCAGGGCCAGCTAGTATGTGCTGCCAAGGTGACATAAAAGGCCCGTTCTCCCTAGTGCTGCAGCAGGTGAAGGGCAGGAACAGCTCTCCCACCTGCCATAGGTGACAAGAGGCAAAGGTGAGGGAGGGGATCTCTCCCATGCAGCTATATGACAGACAAATGGAAAGGCTATCTCTCCACACTCACACCATTGGGGTCAGCTCACCTGCACCCCTGCCATCAGGGTCGGCTCTAATGTGTTCCCCAAGTGAGGTACTGGGCTCTTGAGTGCTGCAGGAGAGAAGGGCAGGGCCAGCTCTTCCACACTGATGACCTTGAAGCCAGCTTTCCTGCCTGCCATAGGTAGTAGGGGTGGGGCATCTATCCATCTCCTGTGTCGTGGCACAGCAGACAAGTGGAGAGAGCAGCTCCCCCATGCTCACATCCTTGGGAGGGGGGCTCACCCATGTTCCCAATTCCAGGGTCAGCTCTACTGTGCTGCACAGGCAAGGTATAGCATCCACTCTCCCATGTGCTGCAGCTGGTGGGGAACAGGCCCAGCTCTTCTGTTCTTGTGACTCCAGGGCCAGGTCTCCCACCTGCTGCAGACCATGAGGGAGGAGTCTGGAGGAGGGTAGCTTTCCTTTGTCCATGCTACCACAGGAAGTGAGTGTCAGGGCCAGCACTCCCATATTCACACCCTCAGGCCAGCACACCTGCAACTTCCACGATGTTCAGGAGTGCTCTCCTTAGCACTGCAGCTGGCCAGGGGCAGAGGCAGATGCCCTGCTCTCACATCTCCAGGGCCAGCTCTCTCATGATACCCAGGTGAGGAGTGAGGCCAGTTCTGCGCAGCCCTCAGACATCAGCATATCCCTGGACAGCAGCCCAGACCAGATATATCCACCTAGCCTTTGGTCCCGCTGCTGCAGGACCATGGATGCAGACATGGACCCCAGTGGCAGCACAGGCCAAGAACCCACCATGGTCCCAGATGGAATCACTAGCTACTAACATCAGGCTGCTACCCTCAAGTCAACAGTTCTTCTTCTCACCATAGATAGACATAGAGACATCTCTATGTCCCTCCTCCTTTACTACTCCACCACTTACTTGCTCTCCCTAGTGGCACCTGGAGTTTCCAAGTGTCTGGGGTCATCTCAGTAATGGTCTCAGGAGTGTCATGCCCCACTTATGCACCTTGGTACCTGGCAGGGGTCATCTAGGGCATGGTCTGCTCCCTCAAAACCTGCACCACACTCGACTGGAGGTCATCTCAAGCTAGCTCCTCATAGCTCTGCTCTGGTGGTTATCTCAGACTCATTTCTAACTGGGGCCTGTGGTCCCAGGTGAAGATCTTCTATTCTCTATCTTGTCCCAGTACTGGGAGCCCATCTGAGTAGACTTGGCACTAGACTGATAGTCATATCAGGCTCTCTGTTTTCAGGGAATGTTAGGCTGCTAATAATTCAGGTATTAATAGATCAGAACACTGAGCTGAGCATAGACATAGTCTCTCTCTTCTCTCCCACCAACTGAAAACACATGTTATACAACAGCAACACTTGTACCACCTCTAGGGACAGGATAATGTTTGTTATTTAAAGATAACAGGAAGTTGGTTCCAGGTTTTTAATCTAGTCATATAATGTGTGTGTATTTATTGGTAAGTTGTGGCCAATTACATTTGCTTATTTAGATAAATGTTTACTAATTCATATAATTTTGCTGTTTTGTCTTCACTGTTGACCAGATTATTTGTTCTTTACTTTATCTCATACTAGTATCAAGGTTTTGATGATTTGCTGTTTTTGACAGATAGTTTACTTCTGAGCTCTCCTGTGTTCTTCCATTCCAACCTGAAATTTCTCTCCTGTGTTCACATGATTGAGATGGTCTCACTTCTTCTGTATATAGTATTCCTACAATTACCTTCCTTTAAGTACTTATATCAATTCTTTGGAAATTTCATACATTGTATTTTGATCATATTCATCCCTGTATCTTATTCCTTACAGCCCTATCTCCCATTCCATACTCACCTAACTTTGTACCCTCCTTTCTTTAAACCATGAAATGCCATTGGTGCTATCTATAAACTCATAGGGGTCTGGCTATCCACTGACTCGTGTTAAGCCTACCAGAGGTGCACACACTCTTAAAGAAGGCTAGTTCTCCCTCTCCTCAGCTAAGAGTGGGAATTCACAACTGCTTCTCCACTCAATGCTGGAATTTTGTTTGACTTGAGTTTGCACAGGTCTTGTGTATGCTGTCACAACCACCATGAGTTCATATATGCAACTGTCCTGTTTTGTCTAGAAAACTGTTTTCTGTTAGTCATCCACTGCCACTGGCTTTTACAGTTTTTCCATCCCTTTTCTGCAATAAATGTTGGTCCTTGGGAGGAAGGGGTTATGATGCAATGTCCTATTTAAGACTGATGACTTCACAGTATCTTATTTTATGCACCTTGACCGGTTATGGGTTTCTGTGTTAACTACCAGTGACTGAAAAGTGAAGCTTTTTTATGACATTTGGAAGATACACTAATCAACTGGTATAATAAGAAGTTGTTAGGAATCAATTATTACTGTGTTTTAGCTAAATAGTAGTAGTAGGTTCTTTCTAAAGGTCTATGTCCTGTCCAGACCCAAGTTCTTCCCTACAATAATAGTGTTGGGCATTGTCATTAAATTTAATCAGAAAGTAGTTACTTACTCCTATGGTAGTCATTCCACTATTGCACCAGTGACATATTTTACCAGGAAGATCTTTGTTGTAACTCACAGGGCTCATAACTAGGTAAGAGTGGTGATTACTTTTTTCTTCTGGTAGTATACATAGCACCTTCCAACACTGAGAGCTAGTCAATAGAAATGAGGCTTCCAGGTCAATACAATCTTAATTTCTCAATAATCTGACTTATGTATGTGATGTCTTCAGCAATAGGCTCTTACTATCAAGATCTCAAGGTAAGGAAAGCTTACCAGCTTACAACTGCAATAAAAGGTAACATATTTCTGATGTTGGACTTGCAGTATAGATTAGAGTCAATGTTTTCCTATTCTAAGTGTGTGTGTGTGTGTGTGTGTGTGTGTGTGTGTGTGTGTGTGTTTATATTTTAGGAAATTTCTACAGTAGTAGTTACTTCTATGGTATTTTTAGAAGAGCTTTAGAGTGTTTGCTTCAGCAACACATATCCTAAAATTGGAAGATTACAGAGAAGATTAGCATTGTCCCTGTGCAAGGATGACATGCAAATTCATGAAACATTCCATAATTTTTAATGCCAGCCAAGACTACGTTATCAAGCAAAACTCTCAATTACAATAGAGGGAGAAACCAAGATATTCCAAGAAAAAACAAATTTAAATAATATCTTTCTGCCAATTCAGCCCTGCAGAGGAAAATAAAAGGAAAACTCCAACACAAGAAAGGAAACTATACCCAAGAGAAAGGAAGAAACTAATCTTTTCATGATAAACCCAAAAGAAGATAGCCACACAAACATAATTCTACCTCTAACAACAAATATAACAGGAAGCAACAATCATTGGTCCTTAATATCTCTCAACATCAATGGACTCAATTCCCCAATAAAAAGACATAGACTAACCCAGTGGATACATAAACAGGATACAGCACTTTGCTGCATACAGGAAATGCACCTCAGTGACAAAGGCAGACACTATCTCTAAATAAAATACTGGAAACATTTTCCAAGCAAATAGTTCTAAGAAACAAGCTAGACTAGCCATTCTAATATCAAATAAAATCAACTTTCAACCAAAAGTTACCAAAAAAGACAAAGGGCACTTTGTACTCATCAAAAGAAAAATCTACCAAGATGAACTCTCAATTCTGAACATCTAAGGCCCAAATGCAAGGGCACCCACATTCATAAAAGAAACATTACTGAAGCTCAAAGCACACACTGAACCTCACACAATAACAGTAGGAGAGTTTAACTCCCCACCCTTACCAATGGACAGATCATGGAAACAGAAACTAAACAGAGACACAGTGAAACTAACAGAGGTTATGAACCAAAAGAATTTAACAGATATTTATAAAACATTTCACTCTAGAACAAAAGAATATACCTTCCTCTTAGCACCTCATGATACATACTCCAAAATTGACCATATAATCCGACACAAAACAAGCCTCAACCAATACAAGAAGATTGAAATAATCCCATGCATCCTATCAGATCACCACAGACTAAGGCTGGTCTTCAACAACATCAAAAACAACAGAAAGCCCACATACATGTGGAAGCTGAACAATGCTCTACTCAATGATAACTACTTGGTCAGGGAAGAAATACAGAAAGAGATTAAAGACTTTTTAGAATTTAATAAGAATGAAAGCACAACATACCCAAACTTTTGGGACACAATGAAAGCAGTGCTAAGAGGAAAACTTATACCTCTGAGTGCCTCCATAAAGAAATTGGAGCGAGCATACACTAGCAGCTTAACATCACATCTGAAAGCTCTAGAACAAAAAGAAGCAAATACATCCTAGATGAGAAGATTGCAGGAAATAATCAAACTCGGGGCTGAAATCAACCAAGTAGAAACAAAGAGAATTATACAGAGAATCAACAAAACAAGGAGCTAGTTTTTGAGAAAATTACCGAGATAGGTAAACCATTAGCCAGACTAAACAGAAGGCACAGAGACAGTATCAAAATTTAAAAAACCAGAAATGAAAAGGGAGAAATAAAAACAGAAGCTGAAGAAATTTAAAAAATTATCAGATCTGACTACAAAAGCCTTTACTCAACAAAATTGAAAAAAAAAATCTAGATGGATGACCTTCTAGACAGATACCATGTACCAGAGTAAAATCAAGAGCAGGTAAACTCTCTAAACAGTCCCATATCCCCTAAGGAAACAGAAGCAGTCATTAAAAGTTTCCCAACCAAAAAATGCCCTGACTTAAGTGCAGAATTCTATCAGACCTTCAAAGAAGACCTAATACTAATGCTTCTCAAACTATTCCATAAAATAGAAACAGAAGGAACACTACCCAATGCATTCTATGAAGCCAAAGTTACACTGATAACTAAACCACACAAAGACCCAAGAAAGAAAGAGAACTTCAGACCATTTTGTCTCATGAATATTGATACCGAAATACTCAATAAAATTCTTGTAAACTGAAATCAAGAACACATGAACATGATCATTCACCATAATCAAATAGGCTTCACCCCAGAGATTCTGGAATTACTAAATATACGGAAGCCCACAACATAATCCACTACATACACAAACTCAAAAATAAAGATCATCTCATTAGATGTTGAAAAAGTTTTTGACAAAATACAACGCCCCTTTATGTTAAAAAGTATTAAAGAGATCAGCAATTCAAGGTCCATACTGAAACATAATAAAAGCAATATACAGCAAACCAATAGTCAACATGAAACTAAATGAAGAGAAACTTGAAACAATAACACTAAAATCAGGGACGAGATGGATGCCCATTCTTCCCCTATCTACCCAATATAGTACTCGACATTTTGGCCAGAGCAATTAGGCAACAAAAGGAGATCAAAAGGATAAAAAGTTAAAAAGAAGTAAGTGAAGATGTCACTATTTGTGGATGATATGATAGTATACATAAGTGACCAAAAAAAAAAAATCCACCAGAGAACTTCTACACCTGATAAACAATTTCAGCAAAGTGACTGGATAGAAAATTAACTCAAACAAATCTTTCTTCTACTCAAAGGATTAATGGGCTGAGAAAGAAATTAGGGAAATGACACCCTTCACAATAGTCACAAATAATATAAAATATCTTGGTGTAACTATAACCAAGCAAGTAAAAGATCTATATGACAAGAACTTCAAGTTTCTGAAGAAAGAAATAAAAAAAAAACCTCAGAAGATGGAAAGATCTCCCATGCTCATGGATCACAGGATTAATATAGTAAAAATGGCCATCTTGCCAAAAGCAATCTACAGATTCAATGCAATCCCCATCAACATTCCAACTCAATTCTTCACAGAGTTAGAAAAGGAAATTCTGAAATTTATCTGGAATGACAAACAAATCAGGATAGCAAAAATCATTCTCAAGAATAAAATAACTTCTGAGGAAATCACCATCCCTGACCTCAAATTACTCTGAACTACAGAGTAATAGTGATAAAAGCCACATGATATTGGTACAGAGACAGGCAGGTAGATCAATGGAATAGAATTGAAGACCCAGAAATGAACCCTATGGTCACTTAAAGAAGTCAAAACTGTCTAACGGAAAAAAGACACTTTCAACAAATGGTGCTGGTTCAACTTGCAGTCAGCATGTAGAAAAATGCAAATTGATCCATTCATATCTTCTTGTACAAAGCTCAACCCCAAATGGATCAAGGATCTCCACATAAAACCAGATATGCCGAATCTAATAGAATACAAAGTGTGGAAGTACCTCGAACACATAGGCACAGGGGAAATTTTCCTGAACACAACACCAATGGCATATGCCCTAAGATCAACAATCAACAAATGGGACCTCATAAAATTGAAAGGCTTCTTTAAGGCAAAGGACACTCTCTGTCAATAGGACAAAAAGGCAACCCACAGATTAGGAAAAGATTTTTACCCACCCTACATCTGATAGAGGGCTAATATCCAAAATATATAAACAACTCAAGAAGTTAGATACCAGAGAAACAAATAACCCTATTAAAAATGGGGTACAGAGCTAAACAGAGATTTCTTAACTGAGGAATACTGAATGGCTGAGAACCACTTAAAGAAATGTTCAACAGCCTTAGTCATCAGGGAAATGCAAATCAAAACGACCCTGTTATTACATCTCGCACAAGTGAGAATGGCTAAGATCAAAAACTCAGGTGACCGCAGATGCTGGCCAGGATGTGGAGAAAGAGGAACACTCTTCCATTGCTGGTGGGATCGAAAGCTGGTACAACTACTCTGGAAATCAATTCATCTCAGAAAATTAGACATAGTACTACCTGAGAACCCAGCTATACCACTCCTGAGTAAAAGATGCTCCAACATATAACAAAGACACATGCTCTACTATGTTCATAGCAGCCTTATTTATAACAGCCAAAAGCTGGAAAGTACCCAGATGTTCCTCAACAGAGGAATGGATACAGAAAATGTGGTACATTTACACAATGGAGCACCACTCAGCTATTAAAAGCAATGATTTCATGAAAGTCGTAGGCAAATGGATGGAACTTGAGAATAACAACCTGAGTGAGCTAACCTAGTCACAAAAGAACACACATGGTATGTACTTAAAGATAAGTGGATATTAGTCGAAGAAGAGAAGGAAGAGGAGGAGGAGGAGGAGGAAGAGGAAGAGGAGGAGGAAGAGGAGGAGGAAGAGAAGAGGAGGAGGAAGAGAAAAAGAGGAGGAAGAGAAGAGGGGAGGGGAAGGGAGGGGAGGAGAGGAGAGGAGAAGAGAAGAGAGGAGAAGAGAGGAGAGGAGAAGAGAGGAGAAGAGAGAAGAGAGGAGAAGAGAAGAGAAGAAAGAAGAGAAGAGAGAAGAAAAGAGAGAAGAGAGAAGAGAAGAGAAAAGAAGCTCAGAATATTCACAATACAACTCACAGACTATATGAAACCTATGAATAAGGAAGACTACACTAAATTGTGGACATTGCCGTCCTACTCAGACAGTAGAAGAAAATAATCTCAGGAGGTAGAGGGAGAGAGGGATCTGGAAGGGAGAAAGGAGGGGGAGGAAAAAGGGAGGTCTGGTTCAGATATAGGAGGAGATAGGAGAGAAGTAGACATATGTATGTGTATAACAACAATTAATAAAAAAAAAGAGGCCATGGATTTGAAAGAGAGCAAAGAAGCGTACATGGAAGATTTTGAAGGGAGGAGAAAGGGAAAGCAAAAAAGTGAAATAAGTTTAAAAAGAAAAAAGGGGACTTTAAGCTAGAAGGGAAGGTGGCCTTGGAAATATGGGGAACCTCTGTTTAGGATGCACTGTATACATTTATGAAATTCTCAAAGTATAAAAATAGTTTAACAACCCAAGGATGCCTGCTAGCCACAGCCTTCTGGTGAATCCCCCACCAGTGGTGACCTATTCTACCAGAAAAGTCACTGTGTCGACCAGAGTCACATCTGGACTTGAGCCATCTCCTGTAGTAAGAACCACCAATATCTTCTCACCAGAGTGAGTAGATTGCCTTTTAGATGAGGCTTTTCTTCCCCTTTTCCAGTTTAGAAGCCTCCGAGCTGGAACCAGGCTCAGCTTGGCTTCCTTCTTTCCAGCACATCCA